TCAGGCCCTCATTTTACTGGTAAGCAAAGAAACTCAATAATCCAAGTAACCAAGGTCACTTGGAGGTGAAATGGGTGCCATCTCCCACGAGCCAGAATAGGATGCAGTGCTTTCCCAGGCACACACGTTTTAATTGTTTCTTTTTGTAGTTAGAGAATGTTTGATGATCCTAGTAGTTCACATTAAATCAACTTTTTCTATCATCTACCTTTGCTTTTATTATTAAATAGGGCCAAGACTCAGAATTAAAGCCCACCAGATGTCTGGCCCTACTGCTTTGCTGTATGGAGACTCAGTTTGCTTCCCTATGAAATCAGAACATGACTGCTGTGCAGTACATGCTCAATCCTGAACAAACAGTTGCCACTGCAAACACCAGCAGAAGCAGAGACCTCTTTAAGGCCTTAGAAACACTTTCACCTGCCAGCAGTTTTCTTCTAGAACTCTTTCCAGCAACCAGATTAAGCCCATTTATAGGTAGGAAATTGAGACTGGGGGAGAGAAGGGAGAAAAAGTGGAGGAGGGGGAGGGAGAGACTGTTAGTGTCCCAGAAGCAGCCAAGATAAACAACTACCCAAACATGTGTTTTTCTGCACCCAAAGCTGGAAAGGTTCTATGTGTCTGATAACCATACAAGAAGGTTAGAGAGCTCCAAGCTGTGTGTGCTATTAAAATGAGTTTCAGAGCAGCCAATGCCAGACATGATGCCAACAATAAGCCCTGTACAAAATGTAGCATCTCCAGGCACAACTAAACAGAGAGACCCTGCCATCACAATTACATAAGAAATAATATCTCCTAATCATTCTTATGAAAGTCTTTATTAATATTCTCTGCTACCACAATGAAACAGTTTTAATAAAGAGGACTCAAATGGTTTCAATAAAGAAAGAGAACCAATGTACAACTAATGAATGAAAATGGCTAAAGGTAACACAATTAAAGAAATGACAAACTTAAAATCTACTGTCTTAGACTCAGGCTCTCCATCTTTCACAAAATCCAGTTTAAAAAAAAAATTCTACGAAAGCCAGGTACGGTGTCATAGCACTTTAATTCTTGCATCTGGTGGAGCAGGCAGAAACATGAGGAATTCAAACTACATAACAAGCCCAGGGTTACACAGGACTCTGTCTCGAAAGACATAACAAATCATGCAAAGATGAATGATTTAATTTTTAAATGACAACAGACACCCACTGTGATTCACAGAAGCCTCACAGGTTTGAAGTCACCCACAGAAGCCCAAAGAAGTTGAGGCATTCCCCTATGGTATGAGATACAATAACAGCTGGCTACAGGCAAGCACAGACACAAGTTCTTGAGTAGTGCTAGTCAGAGAGCCCATATCCTGGCTAGACAGTGACTACCAGAAGAGACTCCTGAACACTTATATAAATTTTGGGTTAGACAAAGTAAAAGAGGCAGCTCTCTTAGGAAGCCTGTGCTCTCTTCTGCCCCATAATAAAACTGTCCAATGGTCAGCCCTGAAAACTCCAAGACCATTATACAGGATAAATTCAATAAATGATTGAATTTATTTATTTAGGAACACACACACAACTAAAGAAGCAGTTCTCAACCTGTGGGTTGCGACCCCTGGAAAACCTTTTGTTGTTGTTGTTGTTTTGTTTTTGTTTTTTTTCTTGAAGACAGGGTTTCTCTGTCCTGGACTTGCTTTGTAAACCAGGCTGGCTTCAAACTCAGAGATTGGCCTGCCTCTGCCTCATGAATGCTGGGATTACACCTCGCCTGACAGAAAACAGTTATTTACATTACAAGTGATAAAAAGAGAAAATTGTAATTATGAAATAACAACAAAGATAATCTTATGATTTGAGGTCATCACAACATGAAGGAACTATATTAAAGGCTTGCAACATTAGAAAGGTTGAGAACCACTGAACTAAAGAAAAAGGGGCTATAAAATTGAAAGACAAGCAAGTTGGGGGTACTACATGGGAGGGTATAGAGGGCAAAGGGAAGAAGGAAATGATACATAATCTCAAACAAATATACACACATACATATTTGTGTGTGTGTGTATGTGTGTGTGTGTGGGGGGGTGTTTGTGTGTGGTGCATGCCTGTAATCCAAGCATGCAAGAGGCTGAGGCAGAAGGCTAACAAATTTGAGCCCAGCCAGGGAAGCAGTAAGAAACTATCCCCCTGAAAGGAATCAAAAAGAAAATACACTAGATTTTTCCTTTAAAAACTTTAATATATATTATACTTCTACTCTATTAGAAGTCAAGAGCTCCTAGCAAAATAGAATTCAACCAAAAACGAAGTGTCACAGTTCAACAATGAACTGGAAAATTAAAACATACAGCTAATATTCTACACAGATGCCATATTACAAGCTTGTCTTCCCCTCAACCCCAGATAGCCCTACTGTGATACTGGCACAATGCAGACTCACAGCAAGATTCTTAGAGACAGAGCACAGACCTGAGCCCTAGCAAGATACCAGTGTCCAGAAGAGGACAACTATGGTCTCATGCTTGCTTGTATTTTTATGCTAATTATTGGCCCTCCAGATCTGGTTACTGCCTGGATACACATCCTTGTTTCATAACCCTGCTTAGACATTATTTCTGATTGGTTGATAAAAAGGCCTAAAACTTGGGCAGGGCAGAATGGGGTAGGCGTGGCTAAGGTTCCTGGGCTTTGAAGACAGGAGAATCACAGGAAACAGACAAAGAGACAGGAAGAAAAGAGGAAGGAGGTGGCTAGGATGGGTTAATGTGGAAAAGGAACCACATGGGCCGGGAGGAAGGATTCCAATAATGGCATGGAAATATCAAGATGAAAAATATAAGCAAGTATTTATAGGATTATGAATGCAAGGTAACTCAGATAGGAATGGTTAATGGGGATGGCAAGGGATTCAGGCTGGGAGGTGGATGATAAAGTTATTGAGAGAGCATAGATGGAAATATCTGCTCAGCCCAAGGTGTTATAAAGCAATTATAAAATCTAACAGGTGACTGTCTCTTATTAATTGTGGTAGCAGGTTAAATAATACGGCTGTGATAATCATGGGACAAATAATAAACGATATATAGCCCAACACCCATTATTTCAACAACAGTGAATGATACCTAGTAGCAACTAAGGACAATGATAAAAGTCAAATAAATGTGACAGCACCTGATGCTGGGACACACAGCTATTTACTTTTTGCACTTTCCTAATTAGGCACATTTTGCAACTAACCCACAATTATGTGTTCTGTTAAAAATAGTTTCCTATCCACTTTTTTTTTTTGGGGGGTGGTATTAAGGAAATACTATTTACCCAAAATAAAAGCAAACCCCATCAGAAACTTGACTAGGTTAGTCAAAGTTGCCAACACAGCATTAGAAGAGCTGCTAGAAATGCTTATCAGTACTTAAGAGTCAAAAAAGGCAACTCAGAACCTGTTCCAAAGCACTAGGCTGGTAGCTACTTAAGTGGAAAATTCCAAAGACCATTTTTTCCAATTTGTTGTAAAATTAAGCAGCACAATTGTAATAAGATCACATATAAATTTCATATTTTAGTTTTGTTTTTATGTTGGAGCAGACAGTTAATTTTAAGTAAATAACAGTTTTGAAGTACATTTTCTAGTCTAAATGATGCTCTTTGTGGATCTACACAACTCTTCCTATCAGTGGAGAAGTTCTATTTCCACCATGGCCATCTTCTTCTCGGTGTTTAGTGTTTAACTCAATGAGACAGAGCAATATCTCAAGTCTAAAATACAGCTCAAAGCTAAGAAGCCATCATATAAACCCATGAGCATTTACGGTGCCACTGAACATAGCATGAGGAAAATATTCAAGTGAGATAGAATTATTGATTATCACTGAGTATTCTACATATGTAATTTTACTCGGCATTATTGCATAGAAGTGGGAGAAATTCTGTTTTCTGTCTTCACGAACTCACCCAAGTGACAAGCAAACCACATGGCACTTCACACCCCGAGAGGCATTGCTTTCCTCCATGGGAAGCAATGGTCTTACAGGTCCTTTCCCTTTTTGATGTAAAAATTTTGTGCCTTTCCTCAATACTACAGTTGATTTACTCTAAAAGCTTGTGTTCACAAGGTTGCCACTTCCCCAGTTTACAATGTAAAATGCATACAACAGGTATCGCTGCTACGGAGCACAGCAAATACATGGACAATAGCAATTGCTAAAGGCAACAGATATTAATTATGCACTGTAACAAAGATCATACAACTGGAAGAAAGAAAGTATCTAGCACCTTTTTAATGGAGAATATCCTAGAGTGCCGAACTTACTGACTATAGTACAAACTGCACTTCCTGTGTTTTACTAAAAACCTCCCTAAAGGAGTGATCCATTTGTGAAACCACATGGTAAGATGACCTGTTTTCAAAACAGAATTTCTCCTGAAAATATAAGGGAGTCTTGAGAACAATGGTAACAGTCCATTCTGATTGAAAGTGGGTCCAGTCCCCTCTCATCACACATGCTCACTGACCCTACAGTTAAAAACAACTATCATTTGCATAAGAATATTTTTGTTTGCTTGTTTTTTTGTTTTTGAGACAGGGTTTCTCTGTGTAGCACTGGCTGTCCTGGAACTCACTCTATAGACCAGGCTGGCCTCGAACTCAGAGATTCACCTGCCTCTGCCTCCTAAGTGATGGGATTAAAGACCTGAGCCACTTCTACAACAAACTTGATAGCTCACGTTTGTTGGAATATGAGAAATCTGTTTATTACACTGTTGAGTTACTTACAAAGAAGCTGAAACTGAGAAAGGTGTAGCTGCAGGATATCACAATGGTCTCTCACTAGACTCAAAACAGATGATACAACATGGGTTCAGATAAAGTAGAATCTGAATGATAGACTTCATATCAATCTTGAGGTTTGGTTAATATACATGGCTCTACCAGAGGCTAGGTTCAACTCTTTTTGTGGCGACTAAAACCCCCTAAGACAAATAAATTTACAGAGAAATGCAGAAAATTTGTCAACTTACCCCTCCAGACAACTTAATCACCCTGACCTTGGAGCTGACATGTGGCCCATCTCCACCACCTCCACTGTTGGCCCTGTGCATGACAGTCCTCTTCACCCCTGGCTTGGTGTCCTGAGGCCGGCCCTGGAGGGATGTCACTCTGGCTGCCTGTGGGGAGTGGGGGGTCTCCTCCACTTCCATAGGTTTGACTTGGAGGACTTTGTGTGGCAGCTGTCGCAGATGCTTCAGTGATCTCACATGCTGCCCTTGATGCTGCATGTTAGCACCAGGCGGGACAAAGTTTACTGCTTTGGGCTGAACATTAGCAATGGTGACATCTTGGTTTTTAACAAGAAGTCTGGTTTTCACATTCTGCCTGCACTGTGCCCCTGGAAAGGGCAACAATGGGTTACCATTAGTGGGCGATGGCGTAGCTGCCAGCTCCTCTTGCTCCATGGGGGTCTGTGAGCCATAGATCTGCTGTTGCTGTTGCTGCTGCTGTTGTTGCTGCTGCTGCTGTTGCTGCTGCTGCTGTTGCTGTTGTGCAAGTCTTTCCAGTAACTCTTTCTTTCTGGCACCAGCCTGCTGCTGCCTTCGTAACTCCTTCTGCTTTAGGATTTCTTCTCTCAGGCGCTTCTGCTCCTCTATCTTTAAGCGATATAACCTTGTCTCTTCATCTTCATCAGGAAACTAAAAATGGAAAACACAGTTCATTTTGCTTTACATGTCAGGGTAGCCATTTCAAACAAATTAATTTCTCCCAAACCTTTCAATGTGGTATTTGAAAAAAGGCATTCAAAAATCTGCTTAACAAGAAGTATAACTCTTTCCTCCAGGGAGGGGAAAATTTTATATAGCTAAACCTAATTTGGAGAATCTTATCAGAATATTAAAAATGAAATAATGTAAATTTCCACTCATTTATAAGTTTGAAACCAATTAAACTATTCATTTAAGATATCAAAATATGTTTCGAATGGGAATGGCAACAGCCATAAGGGTCCTGCTGTCACATGGGTTTTATCTGGTTCTTCTCTGACAAACCAACAAAAGGTGGGGTGTAAATGACCTGAAAGGCCCTGATTAGAACTATTGATTTTTCGTACAGAATTTTCAGCCTGATCTCAAACTCATTTGTCACAGAATAATTGGTTATAATGAACAGCACAAGTCAATCTTTCTGACCTTGAACTCACACACCCTCCTCAGAATCAAAATGCTGCCAATAGCAGTATTGGAATATTAATGGTAAGTGAATGCCCTGAATATCCTAGACCCAAAATACACTCAAAGTCTTTACAGAGAATTCCTTTCTAAAGCCTAGTAAATTTTTTCACCAATGAACCCAATGAAGAAAGCTTGTAATTTAAAAATAATGTTCTATAAAATTACCTATCCATAGTCTTTACAGAAGTATAAGACCCAATCTATAAAGAATTCACCTAGTTATAAATCTCACCTATCTGGCATAAATCTCAAGAATTAGAAACATAAGACAAGCACAGAGCTTGAGTGAGTGCATCATGGAATTCTTGGTGAATGTCAAAGTCTTTGGTACATTTCAAACAAAACTAAAGGTAGGCTGGTGGAGGACTGTTACTCCACAATGTGTAAGAAATCATACAATAGCAAACAATGCAGCTGTCAGCAGCAGAACCCAGATGCAGGATTTCCTAACACAGGAATAATTCAGCAGCATTTGTTTCCCAAGCAGTCAAGAAAAGGTTAAAGTGGGTTCAGAGATATAAAAATACCTTAGATTTATCCTTTACTGTACCAACTAAATAAATCTAAGCCATCAAATCACCTTTAGCTAAGCAAAATACATTTCTTTAAAAAGAAAATATAAGCCTGGTTTCATTTACACACACACACACACACAAATCCAAAAAAAAAAAAAAAAAAAAACAACTAACTAAAACAAATTAAGGCATTCAACCTATACCACTGTAACCTGATAACTTTGCATTTTACTTTCATAAATTATCTGCCTATAGTAAATTTACAAAAGATTCCTGGTAAGACTAAAACAAAATGAGTAAGCATGGCTAACTGTTCCTCTCCTTGTGTTATTTAGTAACTGTTATTATGTGAGAAACATGTACGTGAACCAGACTGAACATATATACAAGTTCTAAGTTGGCTATATACACCAAAGGCCCTAATAAATGTTTAGCAAAGAATTATTTATATTTTTGGGTGTGTGTGTGCGCGCGTACTCTAAGACTGAACACAGGGCCTTGTGAATGGTGTGCAAATGCTCAACCACTGAAATATATAATCTCTTTATTACTTTTTTTTTTTTTTTTTTAATTTTGAGAAGGACCTAAGTTGTCCAGACTGGCCTTGAACTATTGATTTTCCTGCCTCATTTAGTTGTCAAAAGTAGCTAAGTGGGGCTGGAGAGATGGCTCAGAAGTTAAGAACACCGGCTGTTCTTCTAAAGGTCCTGAGTTCAATTACCAGCAACCACATCATAGCTCATAACCATATTAAAATGAGATATAGTGCCCTCTCCTGCCCTGAAGGCACACAAGCAGGCAGAACACTGTATAAATAATAAAATAAATCTTAAAAAAAAAAAAAAGTAGCTAAGTTACAAAGGTGCAATCCAAGACCCAGTTCACAATGCACTCCTTATAAACCACTCCTTTACAGTCCGTATATCCACATTTTCTTTCATATACTGATTATAAAACCCTAAGTTTATTCAATGACATTCAAAAACATTCTTACTTCATAATTTTCATGTGATATGATTAAAATTATCATAATCATTTATCAGAAGGAAAGCTGAATGACAAAAAAAAACTAATTAAAAGGTTCAAACAGTGTTAACTGGTCTTAGAAAGGATGAGTTCCCTAAATTTTTACTTAAGGAAATGCTCCATGCTATCATTACAATGCACAATATAATAACCAACTGACTCGTCACGCTGCTTCACTACACTCATCATGGATTTTATTGGTGCTCAATAACTCCATGTACCTGTCTATGCCCAGCTCCCAGCTGCTCCCCATATTATTTCATCTTCATTTAACATATAGGAAAGTTGAGGTTTGTATGAGGTGAGGACCTTAAAATTAAAGACCAGGTAAAATACTAACCCACATTTATGACTCTACATCTATCTTAAATTACCAAATGTAAGTAAGGCCACAGAGCCACAAGGCTTTGTGACTAAGGTCTTACTGGCACTGAGCATCCATTCCTGTAAGAACTGCATATAATCCACCTTGTGCCACAATGGCAGAGGTGAGTGATTATGATGGTCAAGAACATTTATAGAATTTGGAGACCTTTAGAGAAAACATCTGCTAAACCTAGATATATACTACTTCTATATAACACAACAATAACTATACAAATATAAAAAAGTTAGTATCATAAACCAGTGAGAATGTTGGCGTACCCATGCACACACCAAGGAATTAAAATACAAGCTGCTCAAGTGCTCTGCCACCTATTTCCCCAACAGTAAGAGTATCTTTTATGAACATGTCTGTTGGGCTAAAAAAAAAAAAATCCACTTAAGGGAAATACACGGGCAGAGCTTCTGGATGAGGAAATTAAGCAGAACATATTGACACTCAGGCTCCCTATTCCAGAACAAAGAAGTCCCAGGAAGGAGGTCCTACCTCTGGTTCTGCTTTTGCTTCTTCCTTAGCTTGAGGGCCAGGACTAAGTGGCTTGACTTTTGCATCAGTCTTTCCCTGTGAGCTCCTGGAAGCCACCACAGACCTACAGGGTGGGGATGTGTTCACAATGGGCTTCACCTGAGCGGCAGGTGTAGAGGAGCAGCGAGTACCACTCATTTCCAATACATGTGAAGGTGCTATGGGGAGTTCACGAAGATTGCTGTTTCTGGGAGCAGTAGGTTGCATCTGCTGCATGGGTCGTTTGCTTATATTCTGAGATGCTGCGCTCTGTCACACACACACACACACACAAAAAAAAAAAAAAAAAAAAAAACCACAAGTTTATTAGAGAGTAAAAACACAAGTCATCAATAACTGTCTTCTCTTCTGAGAGGTAGATCCCTACTCTTTGGCAAATACTTCTTATGCATAAGCGTAGCTGTGTGCCCTGGTGCTTAAAAATCAGTTGATGTGACATGATTAAAACTATAAATACAGCTTCCATTTATAAAAGTCAAACCCAGTGATTTTTCAATATATGAATTAACATTTTTAACAGAATTCTGAGCAACAACAAAACAACAACAGAAAACTCTCATTCTGGCTTCTTCAAGGACCCAACTGAATCAATGGCACATTGTTTCTACTTCTCCTGAGTTTAAAATGGAACAGGAGACCCTAATACTATGTTTCAATCTTGTGAAAAACTTCCTACAGAAAAAAGTGTCACAAAGTTCTATCACAAGAAATCTTGGTTACTTGGACATTCTTGGGACAAAAACTCACATGTCAAGGGTCAGAGGTAGCTGAGACAGGGAAGGAATGAGCTTCTACTGTTACCTTAACAAGGAAACCCAGTCACACATACCTCTCCTCTATCTAGAAACCCCCTTAATGCTTTCACCTGAGTCACATTAATATATAAAGAGGCAGCTGGGCATGGTGGCGCACACCTGTGATCCCTGCACTCGGGGAGGCAAAGGCAGGAGGATCTCTTCACGTTTGAGGCCAGCCTTGTCTATAAAGCAAGTCCAGGACAGCCAGGTCTACACAGTGAAACCCTGTCTTGAAAAGAAACAAAGAAGAAGGAAGAAGAAGAAGAGGAAGGAGAAAAAGAAGGAAGAGGAGGAGAAGGAGGAGGAGATATAAAAAGGCAAGGTTAGGAAAACCGGTTCAATGCAGCTCAGTGACCTGCTCAAACTATGAGAATAAAAGTACAGGACTGAGGCTGGAGAGATGGCTCAGTGGTTAAGACCACTGGCTGTTCTTCCAGAGGACCCTGGTTCAATTATCACCACCCATATGGTAGTTCATAACTGTCTCTACCTCTTATTCTAGGGGATCTGACACCCTCACAAAGCCATACATGTAATCAAAACACCAATGTACATAATAGAAATAAATTCTTAAAAAGTACAGAACTAAAAAGAAGACTTATAAACAGGAATTCTGTTAGCAACATTATGTTTTGTCCTGGAAGAGAAATTAACATTAGTTACTGGTGGAGTCAAGGCAATGGCAGCTACATTTTACTATCACAACAACCTACTATTTCCCAGTTCCTTTCACTGCATCACAAGACCACATTTGCTGGCCGTCTGTAAAATGTAGCACCACAAACAAATGCAAGTTAATTTCCAACAGATAATTCCCACAGAGGCAGATAATCTATATCAAAAGCTAAGGCCCTCACACAGGAGAAATGATGAAACAATATTGTCTAATCACTACAGAAAACTCAAATGCATGAAAGTGAATACTAACATAGCCTTTAAGACTCACAGAAAGATAAGTTATCTATAGTTTAAATTTTTTTGCAAAGTGCTCTAAAATAACAACTATAGTTTACTTTGGAAACTATATGGTATATTTATTAATTTAAAAAAATGACAAATAGCTGGGTACAGTGGCACACCTGTGATCCTAGCATTCGGGGAGGCAGAGGCAGGTATATCTCTGTGAGTTTAAGCCAGCCTGGTCTACAAAGTGAGTCCAGGACAGCCCAAGGCAACACAGGCAAACCCTGTCTCAAAAAATGAAAATAAAAATACAACAACAAAACTGAAAACTGACCTAACTCAGAAACTGTGTCCCATAAGTAATATAAGTTAAGCCACATCTAGTACTCACATGTCGTAGCCCTTGACGTGGGGTGCACTGCATCCGACTGCTGTTGGGCTGAGGCTGGGCAGTCTGTACATGCGGCCTGAACTGAGGCTGAGACATGGGCATCAGAGGAGGAGGAGGAGCGGAAAGGTGGTGATGATGCTGGTGCTGTTGCGGCTGATGCTGAGGGGGAGGCTGATGCTGTGGGGGAGGCTGGTGAGGAGGCTGGAGGGGAGGTTGCAGGGGTGGCTGGTGCTGGTGATGCTGGGGTTGCTGCTGCGGCTGCTGAGGCTGCGGCTGCGGTTGATGAGGTGGTGGCAGCGGAGGATGCAGGGGTCCCTTCCATTTCAAAAGAAAGAGAAACAACAGCTTACAAACAGATGTGCAAGGGAGATTTCAACCCAATGGTTTCCTTAAAAACCTTAGCATGAGAAAAAAAAAAAAAAAACTCATGTGGAGAACTAACAGCATCATACATGTAACAACTGGCTCGTGACATTACCTTTGTATACCTAAAACATATGCAAAATAATAAAAGGCAGCTTCCTACAGCATGCTTAGCTGGTGCAGTCAAGTCCACTAGACTAGAAAGACCTGAGGAAAAGAGCACAGACCAAGGACACACTGCTTTCCAACTAAGAAAGACATCTACATGTTCATGGCAACTGCTGCTTGGTAATGGAATTATTTATTTATTTTTTTAATATTCACATATATCCTAATATTTCAACAACAGAGAAATTATTTCCATTTTTATTAAAAAAAATCAAAATATTTAAGCCTTTTCTGAACACTACAGTTACCTCTTCTTTTTAGCTTAAACAGAGTCTTTTAAAACTTATTTCATTTACTTACAGCTCAACTAGCTGCTGTATATGAGTACATGTGTACCAACATGAGCACGTGCCACAGTATGCACGAGGTGGCCAGAGCACAACTTGCTTGAGTCAGCTCTTTCCTTCCACCACGTGAATCCCAAGGATCAAGCTCAGGTGGTCAGGATTGGTAGCTGGTGCTTTTACCCGATCATCTATCTTGGCCAGCCTAGATGTGTTTTTTTAATAATTTATTTACGTGTATGGATGTTTTAGGTGAACGTATGTCTATGCACCATGGGCATGTCTGGCGCCCGCCAAGGCCAGAGAAAGACTTTGGATCCCTGGAACCGTTACAGATGGGTATGAGCCAGCATATATGTGCTAGGAGCTGAACCCCATCCTCTGGAAAGACAGCAAATGCTCTTAATGACTGAGTCATCTCTTTAGTCCCTAAATACACATTCTTTTATTTCCTATGTATCCAAATAGTTGATATAAGTTTACTATTGCCAACTCTATCTCTTCCTTTTTGGGTACACAATAGCTCCCAAGTGCTGGAATTAAGCAATACCACAATACCCTGATAGTAAGAGTGAAATACAAAGAAAATACACCAGGTAGGAAAAAATGTCACAAAAACTTGTACTGGCCAGTAAACATCTACCAGCAGAGGGCGCACAAGCCTGTCACATATAGTGTGAGAAACTGAACACTGTTCCTCCCCACCAAAGCCCTTTTTCCTCCCTAGTAGGAACATGATGCTGGGAAAATACTACACAAGGTAAGTAAACACACCATCAGGACATCAGGACATACTTTAATATTAGTAGTCTTACTTCCCCTTTAGTATTCCCAGGTGACAAAGTTTAGCTCCCTGAAATGAGAACCACTTTTTACATATTCCCTAGTATTAAGGAAATAATATTGTCAAGAAAGGTGGCTGTAACAAACAGTACACTTAACACTACTACTCATATCCTTTACATGACCATAAGTTAGCAGAAACAGTTAGAACCTGAAACTTCCCTTTCAGGAAATACAAAGGCTCATCACCATATAAACAAGGTCTCCTTCAAGGCTGGTTCATGAGCATACCTGAAGATTAGGCTGTGCATGTGTAGGCAGGAACGGCTGTCCTGGGCTGGGTAGAAACGGCTGTCTAGGAGGAATGAAAGGCCTGGCAGTTGCTGACCCTGGCTGACTAAAGTGCAGAATCCCTACTGGGCCTGGGGGCTGCAGGGCTGGTCTTACAGGCCTCTCTCTAGGGAACACTGGCTGCTGTCCTTGCTGATTAAATGCTGGTCCAGGCTGAGTGAACGGTAAAGGACTCTGAGTGGGGACAGGATGGCTGCTGTTCAGGAGTGTGGGAGGAGGTGGCGGTGGAGGAGGGCTTCGCTGTTCCAAAAAAAGATGACTGGGGAACCTTGGTTCACCTGAAACTGAATAATAATACATCATTACCTTCAAGTTAGAAAGACCACACACTTCTTAGATGAGCATTTTCAGAAACCATCTCACTATTACCAAATGTTGGCAGTGGATTTTATAAAGAATCCCCAGATCTTAGCTATCTCAGCATGGTTTTGTGGGTGGTTTTCTATAAACCTTTCCTTCTTTGTACAAAACTGTCATATTTCTTATCCAATTACTGTTTAATTTTAGCCACTGAAATGACCAGTAGAATCATTATAACACATTTCCTAGTGAAAGGTAAATTCTGTTTTAGCAGTAACTGCACAGATCCGCATTCAATGCCACTTCTATCGCCTCATCTTATGCCCATCACATCCCTTCATGTACCTCCCAAGAAGAAAGGGTCTCGTTCCTGAGGTGGGGGTGGGGCTCTCCACTGGTCTTGAAGAGGGAGTCGAGGTGGCTGATTAAAATTGCTGGGAACAGGCCCAGGGGTGTGCTGTGGAAATTCTGGAGGGCCCTAAAGAGCAATGAAAAACACCATGTTGTTTTCAGAATATACACATAATACCAAGCTTAACAATATCATCACTCATTTTCTATGGTCAACCTACTTCTTTCTGTTGCCTCTCTACATATGCTCATGTATGAGATAAATATCTATGTGCAAATATGACATTACATAAAAAATTATTTTGTCATAATAAATTTCAAAATGCAGCATCAAAAAATTAATTCAGAATTTTAACATTACTAGAGAGCCATATCACTGCCCCAAAGGTTATACAAATCTACACAACTACTGACCTTCAGTCCCATAAATGAGAAAGACTAAATACATATTTTGGACATTCATAGATTTGTTTTGTCAAAGATGCTATTCTTTGTTATCTACTTAACACAAACCTAAGCTACAGCTATGAAGCAAATTTACTTCAAAGAAAAAAAAAATTTAAATTTGTATCTTAACAAAAATTAAAAACATCTGAGATAACAGAAAAACATGAATTTTTAAGAAATCAAATTACTAAAGGAAAAATAACATACAGCTGATTCTCCTGGACAATAAAAAGATTTGGGATCGCTCATGTCTCAATGATAGAGTATACCTCAGTGGTAGAAGTCCTAGGCTCAATATCTAGCACCACAAGAAAACCAAACTAACCAACAAACTCAAGAATTTCTCAGTAACTGCATTTTCCTAGCAGAACTGAGAGAAGTAAAGGCAAACAGCGTCATTCCAGTGTTCTTTAGTATACTTACGGAGAAAGTTAAACTACTGCGCTAGTACCTATGGAACTGCTACTCAAAGAAAAAGAAAGCCACAAAGTGCCCTTAACAAAATAATAAATTCAAATTCTTTTCATTTAGTATCACCTCATCCACAGGAAATGACCCAGTATTTCTCAACTCTTAGGCAGTTAAGAATGCTTGCTGATTTTGCAGAGGACACAAGCTTGGTTTCCAGCACCACTGTAGGCAGCTCCAGCTACAGTTGATCCAAAATCCTCTTCTGATCTCTGCCAGCACATACGCCCATGTACATTCCAACATGGAGATATGCAATTAAAAGTAAAATTTAGAAAAACAAAATCTTCTTCCTCAGAAGTTCAAAACTCTAATGCCTTGTTTATTGTTTTATTACTAATAATTTTGGCTATTCTCCCTAAATGTGAATCCATTTTATTGCTATAAAGTACAGGAGTACTTTTTCTGTTGTCTTTAAAAATCTGTTCTAGGACCAGCAAGGCTATCAGTGGGTGAGTCTGATCCCAGAACCTACATGGTGGAAGAAAAGAAAAAAAAAAAAAAAAAAACAAAAAACAAAACTGCAAATTTTCTTCTGACCTCCACACATGCATACAAACACACAGAACAACAAACAAATGGAAAGTGTACTTTCGACTTAATAATTTAGTCTCAATAGCACTTGCTGCATAAGCATCAAGACCTAAACTCTAATACTCTGCATCCATAGAAACACAGATGGCAGCACAGACCTAGAAACCCAGCAATGGCCGGAGGATTCCTTGGGCTCACTGGCCAGCCAGATTGGCTAAAATGGCTCCAGATGAGGCGACAAACTCTCAAAAAATAAGATAGAAAAGTAACTGAGGAAGACATCTAGCATCAGCCTCTGGCCTCTACATGTGCTCCCACACACAACACACACACACATACAAATATATCCACAGAGAGTGAGTGTGTGTGCATGAGAGAGAGCGGAGGGAAGAGGAAGAGGAGGAGGGAGGAGAGGGAGAGGGAGGAAAAAGGGGAAGAGGGGAGAAGAGGGGAGAGGGGAGAGGGGAGGGGAGAGAGCAAGGGAGCACCTGGGGGAAAGACAGACAGAATGACAGAGAGAACAAGCAAGCACCTGAGGGCACAATAATACTGTAAAAGGGACACTGCCAGTTACCACAAACCTATAAGCCTAACTGTTGCTAAAAATGGCAATAAAATGAGGTTAAAATGCAAACATTAAATCTTTCTAAAAACAAAGCACTAGGATTTATTGAATGATACAAAACAGAAATACCCCCATATCACATTCTTTTAGCTACTTCAAGTGAGACTGAGGCAGCCCTCACCACACCAAAATCACACTGCTTCTTGCTACCAAAAAAGATGTCTAGTCATATCCCCTTCCCCTCAAAGCACAGACAATAAGGAGAAACCTGAGAATATGTAATACAAACTTGCCCATCTTCAAAACAATCACACAAACAGTGGTACTCGCTAGAGACATTACTCTAATGTTTAGAGAGGTTTAACATCTTCACTCTGATAACATTCAGAAAACCTTTTTCTAACAATACAACAGCTTCAGTTTCACATGTCAGCATACTCTGGCATACAACAACTTAAGACTCCTTAAGTCTAAAAAAAATCAGTGACTTTCTAAATCACTCAAACTCAAAGTTTCATATTGCAGATTTCAAATTTTGGCTTATGGGAACTCAGTGGGTTAAAATCCAGGGTATGAATTCCCAAAACTAGAAACTCTGAAACCTGAAATACTCTGGTCCTAATCATTTCAAATAAAGATGATTCAACACCTATAAATATATCCAAACATGTTTTTTTCTTTAATTTTTAAAATTCTTTATTAATTACACTTTATTCACTTTGTATCCCCTCTTTGGTTCCCTCCCTCCCCCCATCCCAATCCCTCCCTTCCTCCACCCTCTGCATGCATGCCCCTCCCCAAGTCCACTGATAGGGGAGGTCTTCTTTTCCTTCCTTCTGATCCTAGTCAATTAGGTCTCATCAGGAGTGGCTGCATTGTCTTCTTCTGTGGCCTGGTAATGCTGCTTCCCCCTCAGGGGGAGGTAATTAAAAAACAGGCCAATCAGTTCATGTCAGAGACAGTCCCTGTTCCTCTTACAATGGAACCCACCTGGATATTGAACTGCCACGGGCTACATCTGTGCAGGGGTCTTAGGTTATCTCCCTGCATGGTCCTTGGTTGGAGTATCAGTCTCAGGAAAGACCCCTGTGCTCAGATTTTTTGGTTCTGTTGCTCTCCTTGTGGAGTTCCTGTCCTCTCCAGATCTTACTGTTTCCCACTTCTTTCCTAAGATTCCCTGCACTCTGCCCAAAGGTTGCCCATAACTCTCAGCATCTGCATTGATAGTCTGCAGGGCAGAGCCTCAGCCTCATTTGTAATAGCCAGAAACTGGAAACAACCCAGATGCCCCTCAGTGGAGGAATGGATCCAGAAATTGTGGTATATCTACACAATGAAATATTACTCAGCAATAAAAAACAAGGAAATCATGAAATTTGCAGGTAAATGGTGAGATCTGGAAAAGATCATCCTGAGTGAGCTATCCCAGAAGCAGAAAGATGCACATGATATATACTCACTCATAGAGACATATAATATAGGATAAACCTACTAAAATCTGTACACCTAAAGAAACTAATCAAGAGGGAGGACTCTTGCTAAAATGCTCAATCCCTATCCAGAAAGGCAAAGAGGATGGACATCAGAAGAAGGAGAAAAGAGGGCAAAGTCAGGAGCCTGACACAGAGGACCTCTGAAAGGCTCTGCCCTGCAGACTATCAATCCAAACATGTTTTTAAGTGATCTTCAAAACTTCCTGGATGAAAAATGAGCAATCACATCTATGTAACAAAGGAAGAGGAAGTAGAAGGAAGGGATGGAATGGATAGATGGATGGATGGATGAATGGAGGAATGAATGAACGGGAATCAGTTTACACACCTCTGGTATGTGAAGAGGTCTAAGTGGCTTCTAATCCAAGTGTCTTAGTTAGGGTTTCTATTGCTGTTATAAAACACCATCATCATCAACAACAATAACAAAAAACACTTGGGGAAGTAAAGGGTTTATTTCATCTCAGCCCACCTTCTTATACCACCCAGGGCCATCAGCCCAGAGTAGCACCATCCAACAGTGTGCTAGACCCTCCCACATCAATCAAGAAAATGGCCTCGAGCGAGGCTTAATCACAAGCAAAATCTTGGTTAGGGCTCACTCTTCCAAAAGGACTCTAGCTTGTGCCAAGTTGACATAAAACTAACCAGCATACCAAGCAAATCAGCAATCCAGACCCTTTCAAATTAGACAACTGTTCTCAAAAGCTGCACAGGATTGTCACTTAGGGGCAGTCTGAAATGGAACATACTGAGGCCATCAGAAATCAGAAACAGTGGGCCTATCACATATAAGAGTTTAAAAGATCTAACTCAGTATCTGCAGATAAGGTGTAGCCTTGACTCTAAAGTCGGGCACTTGGCATCCTTACAAAAGGTTACTTGAATTCAAAAAGTGTTGTTTGTCTTTGGCTATATGATTAACCTTGATGTCAGGGAAGCTGGAAGAATGGGCCTGAATGAAGGATCACATACAATGATTCTCACAGAATTTTAATAACTACCATGTGAATCCAACAAGAACCAACAGAGTTCATAATCATCTACAGAGGAATAAAGGTGTCAAACACTGTGCCATCATAACTGCACATACAAGGCCCATTACCTCATCAAACACAGCCAGAGAACAAAATTTTACGGCATCAAATTACTGCCTAAAGTAAAGAAAAATCATACCTCTATTTTGGTAATTTTAAACCATACGTTAGTCATTCAACCACTTCTGAAAATTTCACTTAAAAAACTCAATGGGAGCTCCCACAGGTCATTTTTGTCAGGACAAATTGAAAAGGCAGAAAGTAGTTTAAACCAGCTAGCAGAGACCTGACAAAGATTACAGAGCTGAAGATTTCAAGCAGCAATCAACTTTCCCCTTAGCTATAGAATGTCAGTGCCTGGATACTACGTGGCACTATAAACTCTGAAAACTATACCACACTGAGTATAAACTTCTATAATGCATCTTCTTCTCTAAGAACTTAATTCATGTGTTGTTTCAGACAAAAATACAAAATCTTCCCTCCCACCCCCAGAACAGCTTCTCTAGTAGAAACAGCATTTTCTGCCATCTCTCCTCATTCCAGAGGCCCTGACTGACTCTCTGCTCCTTGAGGTTTGCTT